AGCATACTAGTATAGTTATATTGAAAACATTTAAATACAAAATATGGCAAAGCATAAAACATGTTAGAATGGCAGAGAAGCAATTTAGCATTCAAGCATAAAATCTACTGTGAATGGAAGCATGTAAGCAAACAATTAACATAGGACGACAAAGCAGCATAAATGATATAAAAATCGCATAAAATCATTTAAGAATGGAATTATAAAAATAATTAAGCATACTAGTATAATTTTAAGTAAAGATGATTATACCCACAAGATTACAAATGCAGTGAATTGTACTCGCAAACTGCGCGTAGCAATTGAGTTGAGTAGTTAGGGTTCGTTTCTGCTACTTTGTATTTCAGCCATGTGGCTTTAAAATCTTGATGGACACTCTCAGGGGCTTGCTCGCTATAAAGGCCGAGACCTTGTTGTTTCTTTTCACAAAAATCTCCTACATGATAAAATACAGTATGAACTTTGGGTGTTACTGGTAGTTCTAATGCAAGGTAGCTTTCTTTAAAAATTTGAAGAGCATTTTTGTAATTGGCATGCAAAACGGTTGAGAAACAGGCATCCACCACAAGCTTAAAGTTTTGGAGAACCTCTACAAATGGTAAGCATGCAAGCGAGTCTCGCCTTAATAAATCCACCTTTTTCAATAAAATACTACAAGAGTTCCCATTGAATTCAGGCGACCCATGGGTCATGTCTCGCTTGACATTACAAAGGGAAGCCCACTTTAATGCATCTGCTTCGTTGTGTTTTAACATGTGATCAAAAACTGTATTAACAACTCCTAATGAGAGGTGCAGCTCTGGGGGTGGTACAATATCTAATATAAGTTTATCCTCTTCCGTACAAAAAACAGTTGGATGGATACAATTTTTAAATTTCTTGGCTTCCTTATAATTTTCACCTGATTCTACAAACTTTAAATAATTTTGCATTATGTTGCCAACTGTGCGGTATGGTCCTAGTAAATGGAGTGAACTCTTTTCAGCTTCACACCAGGCGCAAGGGAAGCAGCTAGAGTGGGACATTATGCCCACGAGGAGATTGGCAAGTTTTAAATCTGTCGCAATGAATGCATCTAAACTATTTATTTCTAATCTAGACCACAGCATGGCTACATTTTTATAATTCTCTTGCGTGTGTGGCGCAATAGCTAGTATGAATATTTTTTTCACTCCAGAATCTAAAAACTGCTTAGCTAAAACTCCCTGCTCGTATGTTTGCCTAACACTTTTAACGTCTACAGAGTTCTCCACTAGGGATTGAACAGATAAACATACCTTGAGAAAACCCTGACCACCATTTATGCCGATTTTTAACACATAATTAGACATATTCCGCTTATCTTTTACAAACTGTATAAAGGTATCGACAACGTTACAAAAAACTAAGGGCTTTTTCTCAATTGTTTCGACTTGCTTCTTAATATTTGCAAATTGTACGGTTTCAACTACAAAATATGGATCAACTTCGTGAGTAAGGAGCTCTCGTTCTTTCTTTAAGTTAGGACTAATAATTTTCCTATTTTTCGTGGCAACTCTAATTGCGCTTGCTACTCCTAAAGTCATGTTTAAACTTAGATTAAAGGATGCTCGTATGTTTTTAAAATCCTCACAGTTTAACAAGAATTTGTTAAGGTGTCTAGGATCATTAATGCTATTTGTTAGACATACTTTCAAGGGTTTGCCCCTTAACTGGGACAGAGAAATAACAGAAGAATTATCAGTTTCACCTGCTGACGATTTTTTCTTATCAATAACATCTTTCAATAATGATGAAGTTACTTGTTCTTGACTCTTCAGATTGCATACTTTTCCTACGGCTGAACATAAATTTTTTATGAGCGACGTTTTATTACACTTGTGCTTGATACCGGGATGAACTATATTGTAACACTTGGCGCATGAATTTCTAGATTTCACTTTCTTCTTACCTTGGCGTTTTCTGGTGAGTCCTACTTTAGATTTACCGGTGAAAATATCGCATGCAGGCGGGAACACTTTACCACCGTTGCGTTTAATAAAATTGGGCTGTACTGGGAGGCTTACCAGGTTACATAGGTGGCAATGACATCCATCATCCTTCGACCTTGTCTGAATTGTTCCAAGGAATGGGGAGTAATCCGGTTGCACTACGGGAAGTTGTCCATCCTTGCGCCTGTACAACTTTCGTTTACAGCCTAAGCAAAGTGCGCGCGGAAGAAACACGTTCTCAGGATCGTACTGTGGCACCACTGATTTGATTTTGTCACTCAAAACTCGGGTAATTTTAATTAGTTTCCCCTTTTTCACGAAACAAAGCACACACAAACTGTCGCGACTTTCTTCATGTGATCTACGTCTATTTAGTCCCATGATTTGCAATAGGTACAAGGGATACTTTAAAAAAAAAAAGGGAACAACGCACGACGGGCACTTAGTAGCTAAGCAAGTCACTCAAACTGCGTAAAGAAACTAATTCGAGTGATGAATCCGTCTGTCCACTTTGCAGTTATCGATCCATATTACACAATGTGTGAGTACAATTCGATCAATTCATTGTTTACAGTTATCTTTTAATACCTTTAGGGGTTACATTCCGTTACCGTTACCGTTACCGTTAGGGTCTTTTAATACCGTTACAGTTATCTACCTTCAATGGACTTCAACAGACAACAATACCGATGTGCGATAAATGTGAATATTTTACATGGATTTGAATTGGGAAAAGCGCTAATAAAGTACCTTATCTGGCAACAATAGAGTCCGGGAGGGACGAGAGGCTCCCTTCCTGGGAAAACCTATGATTTAGCCGGAAATGTCATTATGACAATTGATTCCGTTTGAAGCATCAATTGTAGACTAGGGGAAAGCTATTTTAAAATAATAATTGTAAATGGACAAAGATGCTACTGAAAAGGAAAAAGGAAAGGGAAAGGATTCATGTGCAAATGATGGCACGCTCCGGCGACTAAGTTCTGTGACGAAATCATTTTTGCCTCCAGAGTCTCCAAAATGCATACATCTTAGTGATCAAACGTCTAATCACTGAGAAAAATGGCTCGCGGAGCGAGCCGAATGTCACTCGCGTAGCGAGTGATCGGGGGTCCAGGGGGCGCAGTCCCTTGCCTGGCCGTGACGGTCCAGAACGGCTAGTAATTCAAATACATACAAGTGTCAGCACCCAACTTCAGGTTGGAGTGAGGATATGGTCGCCGTGATTTGGGGGCGCAAGTATATGGGCTTATGTTGGGGGGGGGGATCATCCCCCCTTTCTCCTACCCCACCATACCCCAGTAAAACGACCCACCAACTCAAACAAGCAAGATATGCATATCAATTTGAGCGCATGCATATGCATGGGTGTAAATGGTTTTTTGTGGAAGGGGGCGGGGGGGACCGAGGGGCGGGGGGGGGGAAGGAAGGAAAAGGCCTTTTCCTACCCTCGGTGCCCCCACAACTTCAAAAAACAAAGAGTACAGCCATAATTATTGGATATTTGCTCCGTAATCAGCAATTTTCAGCCGATTCAGGGCTAAAAACCTTTAAATCGGCTTTATTTTCCGAGAGCTCGACAGAATATTTTCGTTTTGGTCTTAAAGTAATGTATTTACATCATACTTCAAGGTTCTGAAGAGAAATCATGAGTGCATCGACTTTTCATTTAACTTTCGTTCAAACGAACCGTGTTCGAGTTATAGAGGTAAAACGCCGATTCCTTCGAGTTACTGAGGTACAAATGAGCCTCAAATGTCTTCGAGTTAACGGAACAAATTTTTCGAGTTATATCGAGGATTTTGGCCTTCTGCGGAAGGGAACGGACATTTGAGTTATTGAGGTTTTCGAGTTATCGAGGTTCGACTGTAGCTAAAATTCACCCCATCTTCAGGGGTCGATATCTCGCGAATGGGGCGTCGGATGGGAAAACCCTTCAAATAAGTGTCTTAGAATGATGTAAAGACCTCTTATACCAATTTTCAGCCAAATCGGAGGGGGTCGGGTACCGAGCCTGGTTGAGTTGACGTGGAATGACCCTACTAGCTTTTAATTCTCATTTATCGGAATAGTCATGCAATTTTTTTGTACAATTGGAAGCAAGAGTGATTCCTCACATAACTTGACAATAATTAAATTCTGCCAACTCTTGAATGTCATCATTTTGACTGTGTCCAAATTTTAGTTGATGTAGCGGCCTGCAAATATTTTAACCAAGTACACCTGTGAAATCTCGGCAATCAGCTAGCTGAGGTGGAACTTAATGGCAGGCTCTAGTCAACTGGAATTTGCTCATTACAGACAACAGAATGTGAACTCTTATCATTAAAAATGAAATTTCAGCGGAATGGTCATTTTTTTGTAACCTCAAGACCAAAATAGTGTTGCACAAGTCTAAAGTTGGTGAAAGCTAACACTTAAAGCCTAGATTTCTTTTAATACCGACTAGAAGGATACAGGTGGCAAAAGAATGTATCTTGCTGAAGGGTTGTCTCGGGAGTAGGTACCGTTATGACCACTTATTCTTTTCATGTGAAGGCTTCGAACATTAAGTACTTTTTCTGCTTGATTATTTTAAGTAGAAAAAAATTAAATGATTTCTTGGTATTTCATAGTATCTTAAAGTTTTTAATCGGAAGTGGACAATCTGTATAGGTATCAGTTTCCTCTTAAGCACCCAAGTATTTACTAGTTGTGATAAAGCTTTGCTCATATTTCATGTTAAGATACCTACATAAATTATTGTGCAGATCAGCAAAGTTAATGACACAAACTGAAACCTTCTCACTTAAGAAGGAAAATAATAAAATCTGATGTTTCTCACTTCATTTGTTTAGTCACGAATATCTCGGCTCTTTAAGTACCTATATCGTGGAATCTCTTAATTTTCTGGCTTTTCACTAATGATGAACTTTATGTCAACCTATTTAAGTTTCATCAAAGTATACCCGGAGCCATTGAAAGCCCCCCCCCCCCCCCCCCCCCGGGTGTACCAGGGTCTGTAGAGAAATTGCGTTTTCTGGTTATTACCATGATCTGATTCAAGTAGTATTCATATTGAACCATGCCACTTTCAGAATCAACAGCTGCAGCCATCATTTCATCGACTTCCTCTTGAATGAATGGTTCCCCCTCTTCCATCATAAGTTTTTTCAAGTACTCTGTTTCTAAATATCCTCTTTTTTCTTTGTCCAATGTCTCAAACGCTTTTAGCAATTCTTCTGGTGACGCAGGCTGAAATCTGTTAAATGAATCATCAGTTCAGTCCTTCGGATTTTTCAGAGGTTTTGAATTGGAACTTCTTTACTTGCCGTAGCATTTTTCACGTGGAAAATGTGCAATATAATAGTTTCTAAAGAAAAAACCAAATTTTTTCCTCCCCCCAAAAAAAGAAAAAAACTATGGGAAGCTCCCAATATCCTTTAGGTTGCCGGAAATACCCTTTAATAACTAGTTGTTTTCCTGGTTTTTGGGCAACGATGTGAAAATCGTTCCTTTCCAGCTATTTACATAACATCAAAACGAAAGGAGATCAAATTGTCGTCCTAGCCCAGCTGGCAATTTCACCCAAGTAGCATTTTGCAACGAAAAAATTGCAATTTAAATGAAATAAAATTTCCAGATGATTTCAACTTTCTTGCAAGAAAATTGCAATTATTTTACAACATCTGACCCCCTCATTGTAAAAAAGTTGCAATTTTTTTTTTTTGCAAAGAAATTTCAATATTGACGACCTTTAAATTTCAACCCCTAAATTTTCCGGGGAAATTATAATAATTCGAACCCATGCTTACCTAATGTCCTACGACGTTTAGCAGCATAAAATACCGGACGCCCTTGAGTGGGCTTGAACCCGACCCGCGAATGTCATAGCGGAGCACTCTTCCACTGAGCTACAGGGAGCTGATGATGAGCTTGGTTGAAATCACGCCTGTTAAGGCTGTTATCGCATGCATTGCGTCAGTGCGTGGCTCAACATTCATCATAGATTTGATTAACGCCGTTTTTCTCAGGCTTCTTTCTTTTGCCTATTATTTATTTTTTTTCGTGTTATTTATTTTTTTCATATTTTTTTTGTCTGATTTTTTTTTTCGATATCACGTAATAGGTACTCACACTAAATTTACACCGGTGTAAATTACACCACATACTAACTTGAGAACTTAAAAATATTTTCAAAAAATATTTTTAAAATATTTTCAAAACTTTCTTAAGGAATATTTTTAACATGCATGTTTACAGGCAATATTTTTGAATTATTTTAAAAATATTTTTTGTAAACATTTTCAAAATATTCCTTTAAAATGTTTTAAAAATATTTTGAAAATATTTTACTTACAATATTGCCATGAAAATATTTTGATAAAGGTGACAATATTTTCAAAATATGTTGGGCTATATGGGTTAGGTAGGTGAGACATTTAAGTCGAAAAAACTTTAAAACAACTAGAGAATTGGATGCCAGGCACATGGCGTGAATTTGTTACAACATGATTGCACCGAAATTGCAGTCTTTATAGTGCCTTGAAAAACAAGCATAATCTACATTTCTTGCAAACTTATTGCAATAAAATTGCAACTTTTTAAGCGCCTTCAAATGAACGTATAGGCAACAAGCAAAAATTGCAATCAACTCACAATCCATTGCAATGAAATTGCAATCCATGCTACTTGGGCATGGATGAAAAATTTCCTAAGATGAAACTGTTCTTCCAATTCACAATTTTTCCTCACCAACGATTGATTCTCAATGTGTACCTACTTAGTTTTCTAGAGACAGTTTTCTTAAAAGTGAAGAAGAATTTAGCCACTTTTAATTTTTCCGAATAATGTTACTTCCTAGCCAGATACCTATCATAAAAACTCATGCTGTTTCTTATTTCTTAAAAACCTAAGACTGATTTAGTAAATTTTCCTTGATGTGCTAAAGCACAATTAGTCATTAAATATTCAAAATCTAAAGTTACGATACTTAATAGGTTTTTAGTAGGTAGATAGATTTTTAGTAGATTGCTTTCTACAATTTGTCTCTCATTAGTTTAATTTTTGCCCCCTATGCTTTCTGGGTTTAAAGATAATCCACCTACCTATTGTTACTGAGGCTACCTAATAGAAAACTTTGTGCCTCCGCCTTCACAAGGACTTTAATTATTTTCCATTCACTTAGATATTGTTAAACGGTTTAACCAAACTTTTTGATACCAAATGTAGCTCATTATTTAACTAGTTTGTATGTTTTCTATTTTTATTTGTTCTTTTCTGAAAAAAAAATTTGTAAGTAAAAGAAAATGCTTCAAATTTCAGCCTGTCCCAACCCTCCTTGTGCCGAGGAGGGTTGGGACATTTTGACAATTTTTTAAAAAGTGGTTGCAAAACTCAAATTTATCACTTTAAGGAAACCAAAAATTTACTGAAGTTAGTTCATGACTGTACACTCCCATATTGTGTAAAACCAATTTTTAGAAACAATTTTTAACCCCAGTAAAAATTAGAAGAAAAAAACGTCCCAACCCTCCTCCGCCTCCCCTAATCAAAGAGTCATATAATTATCAGTCAACACCCAAACAAAAGTTTATTTAAAAATTGTTTTTACATAAAAATAGGTCTTCATAAGAGGCTTAAGAAGATGATGCAGTTCAGAGCTCATTCGAAATTCTGTTATTACTGTTAAATTTCTGCCCTCGAAAAATATTTTAACGAAACCATTAAACAAAGTTTTATTTGAGAAAATTAGGAATCTTATTCTAAGTAAATGCTTGCTCACCTACTAATTAATTTTCTATTTGTTTGTTAAGCATTCCTGTTGTATCTCCAATACTCTAGTTAAATACTCACTCAAATTTTTTTAAATTTTACTCTCAAGCTAAACATATATTTTAAAATGTAGCTAAGCTAAGGGAGGGTATCAATCAATTATTTATTTTTCTCAATTATATTTTTCATATTATGAACTTTTTTGTCGATTGAGGGAGGTGTTTCTCATGCCAATCACCAACGTTTCTTTTTCCGTTGCCTGATATTCTAGTATATTTACGGCAACCACGAAATATTTTTTTCTCTCTCTTTCCCAAGTAGCAGTGATCGCGATAAATAACGATTTTATCGGTTGGTTATCGCGATTATATCGTTGGCAATATATCGAGATATCATCACTTTAAAAATTGCGATATACATATGGCGATCAAATCGCTACACATCGCATTTTTTGGTTCGATAAAATCGTGATCAATTTTCAACGATAAAATCGAGATTAAATCGCCATTTATCGCGCTTTTTATTTCGAAAATATCGCGATAAATTGTCGGGCGATTAAAGCGCGATTTTATCGCAATAAGATCGAGGATACTCGCTCAGATGTTGATGATCTCGGCGATTTTATAGCCGGTTAAATCGGATATATATATATACATATATATATAAAAATATGGAGGGTCTCTTGTCTCTGCATTTTAGTTACCTTCTGTACTTAGTTTTTTTGTTGTTGTCCCTTTGTTGCTGAATAATCCTTGAGTGTGAAGGAGGGTGTTAATATTATGCAACCTCATTTGGCAACATTGCAACTTTCATTCAGCCAATCATGATGCCTCTTTAATTGCTAGCAAACCATCCTCTTACTTACTGTTTGCCTGTGCGTTCATGCACTTAACTTCTTATACAGGGTGTCTCACGAAAAAGGAGCCACCTGGAATATCTGGCGAACGGGTTGGAATTTCGCAAAACGGTAAGAGACGTGTTCGTTTACATCGTGGGGGACACCTTTTGACGTTATTTAAATTTTCCCAAACTGCGGGAGGGGCGCGGGGCGGGGGGTGCCCCTCCCATAAGCGAACTTTTCAAACGGCACCCCCATATTTTTATTTCAGAAATCGATTCTACGCAAAAAAAATGCCACCCTGCCCAAGCCGGATGTAAATCGGACAATTTTTCAGTGATTGGCAGAGGTTAAAACATTTTTATCATGCTCTTTCCAAAAAATCCCCACGCCGAATGGGATTGCCGTATCAAACCAAACTCTCAAACGAACACGTCTTGTGCACATCAAGTTTACTTATATGCCGTAATGGAGGGATATCCCACACGCTATCCCGAGAGTCCACCTCTGTATCAAGTCGAACTCTCCATGCAAAGAGCAACCCTACCTTGTAGCATTTGCATGTATTTTTTTACAATTTTCTGGAAATTTTGCAGGAATTTAATAGCGACTTTATTGAGATGAGATTTCGATTTCATTCCAATTAAATCTTCTTGAAGTCACCTTTTTCTTTGAATTTAATAGCGATTAAATACGTATTAAATTTCAATTATATTCAGATGGTATCCGGATTTTATCAAAACTATATAGAAATATTTTTTAGATGTGGAAATACAGGCAAAGACCGTCATTTCCTCAGCACTGCACATATATTACAAACCATATTGTAAGCCACTTACCTGAATTCCTGCGACGTTAATAGTAGCGTTAAATACCCGGACACCCTCGTGCGGATTTGAACCCGAGCTCCGAGTGTGATACCCCACGATGTAAACGAACACGTCTCTTACCGTTTTTCGAAATTCCAACCCGTTCGCCAGATATTCCAGGTGGCTCCTTTTTCGTGAGACACCCTGTATAAGAAGTTAAGTACATGAACGCACAGGCAAACAGTAAGTATGAGGATGGTTCGCTAGCAACTAGAGAGGCATCATGATTGGCTGAATGAAAGTTGCAATGTTGCCAAGTGCTGAAAAAGCAACTTATCTGGCAACAATAGAGTCCGGGAGGGACGAGAAGCTGCCTTCCTGGGAAAACCCATGATTTAGTCGGAAATGTCATTAAAACAATTGATTCCGTTTGAAGCATCAATTTTATACTAAGGGGAAAGCTATTTTAAAATAATAATTGTAAATGGACACAGATGCTACAGAAAGGGAAAAAGGAAAGGAAATGAAATGAGGATATTATTACTAATATGCAATCAGAGAGAATAAAACAAAAATATCAGAGAAATTAATATGCAATGAAAGTATAAGAAAACAACACGAGTGGGCTCATTGCGATTCGGAACTCGAACTATACTATCGTTGAGCAGTTTTTAGACCCCTACGCCACCGATAATCTTCTTAAGAGGTAAAGATGAACTTCTGCTACTTCAGCGAGTCAAATCGCGGAAGAAGATCCATGGATTGTCTTTTTTCCGCCACCCGATGGAATGACGTCCCAGTCAAATGCGTTTTCGAAGAAATGATCGATCCCCATCATCGATTCATCTCCACATATCTATTCATGTGCAAATGATGGCACGCTCCGGCAACAAGGTTCTATGACGAAATCATTTTTGCCTCCAGAGTCTCCTACATTTATACACTTAGTGATCAAACGTCCAATCACTGAGAAAAATGGTCGGGGGTCGGGGGGCGCAGCCCCTTGGCTGGCCGTTGTGGACGCGCAAAGCGCGTCCAGAACGGCTAGTATAACCATACAAAAATAATAAAAATAGTCCGATAAACATTTTAAGACCGTAAGCCTTCAAGTAAACTGTCGATTATTTGATTTAGTTGATTAACTTTGAATTGTTTAATTTGTTGAAATTGATTCTCCTACATATAGCCGATATTTTACTAAGAACATTTGTATCTTTTATGTACCTATTTATACATTTCAACTATTTTTTAATGTTAAAGTGTATCCTGGTCAATTCATAATGATACATTGCAACGGACGGGAACTTAGCGTAAGCTTAGCGCGTGCGTGCGGCATGTCGCTTAGGCAGTGCCGAGGACGTGGGCGCGTTGCACTACGGCGCGGCCGCTTTGCTCCTATAGTGTATCTCATTGCGCGTGCCATTCTTGGGTGTTTTACGGCTTTAATATTACAGATACGACCAAACGGACGAAATTTTTGGAATGTGGGACCGTAGCTCGGCGTTTTCCATGGGAAGACAGTGTTAATTTATCTAACTACCTCAAATTTCAACCTGTGTCACTTCAGTCGTTTGAGCACCGGGTAAAAATTATTTAAATTTTTTTCCATGCACAAGGCTTCTAATCTATCCTCACATCAACTTTTAAGTCCAGGATCTCCTGCTTCGAATTCGAAAATTTAAAAAATAAGAAACACCCTAACGGAGGTACTTTTCGTCTTGAATTCATACCTTGTTGGGAGTAAAGATAAAAATACTTGTTCAGATTATCAGGTTATATTTGCAAAGTAAAACAAGTTGCACAATCTTAGCGACATTGGAATTCTTTTGGTACCTTTTTGCAAAATGCAATCCATTTGCAGAGAAGTTCTTATGGCTTGTTTATTCTATGTATTTACTTTCTCAATCCATTTTATTTTAGTGTATTTTATTTTCTTATTTTAATACAGATAAATTGAATAATTTACAAAGAATAAATGCAATAAATTAAAATCGTGTTGAAACTCAATAGGTGTGCCTCAGCCATAAGATGCTCTAAGGCCCAATAAATCTCCTATACTATTAATAAATTAGAAGTAAGTAAAACAAAATAGATTAAATGAAAAAAAAATAAACTAATATAAACAAATAAATAAAATAAAACAAACTAAGAAAAATAAAATGTATGATGAATACCTAGATGCAATTAAAATAAAGCATAAATAAATAAAATATATTAAAGTAAATAAATCAAATATAATATATTAATTTTGTAACGGGGTGTTCCCCCTACCCCTTCACTTTTCAAAATTTTAGCCCGCCAAGTAGCGCTAGTGGTCGCGTGGCGGCTACTAGCACTACTCGGCTCCCCTCTTCCTCTTCTCTGCTTTTCGGTCTTCGAGCTCGTTCTTTTGTTCTGCTGTTCGGTCTGTCGTTTTACAGCCAGATTTCCTTTTTATTTTTCTCATAATGTAAGTGAAACTTAGTCTGCCCGGACGGGGGGCTAAACCCGTCAACTCAGCTTTTAGTTTATTTTCTTTTTTTGTGTGTGTATTTATTCGTACTGTCCGGTATCGCTCGTCAGTCCTGTTCCTTGTTCGCCTTCATCACCATCATACTAGTGGTCTTCCTTCATTTCAAACCCCTTTTTTTGATGGGCCTTTCGCCCCAGCCGGGGAAGGAAAGGTTCCAATTTATGTAATATTTTTAGGTACTTTATTTATTGTTTCATTTATCATTTTATTTTATTTCATTTCATTTATTTATTTTTCTTCATTTTAATGACTGGATTGCATTTTGCAAAAAGGAACCACTAGCATCGCAATGATGCTAAGATTGTGCAACTTCATCCTTTGCAATAAAATTGCGGAAATCGTGAAAAACTATGAAATTTAGATGATAATTTTTGTCTTAAATTCACAGTTTTTAGCGAGTAAAATAGAAACTATTAATGGATAATCGGGTTTTTCCTCCAAGACAAAAGAAGTTGCACAATCTTAGCAACATTGCAATGTTAGTGGTTCCTTTTTGCAAAATGCAATCCAACTATCATTTTGTCTTATTTTAATCGTGTGTTATTCACTATTTTCTTTCCAAGAATTGATCTGCCTACTTAGTTTTAGTTTGCAGTTTTTTTGCTTCTTTTAAATTGTATGAACTGCAGCAAGAATAATATCATTGTTTTCAATGATGGACTCGGCGCTGGGGACGTTATGAATGCTAAATTACCTTTTTGCATTGCGCAAACCTCCGAATCTCCACGGCAGCGGCACTCGAGCGATCATTGGGGGTTTACCAACGCCGGGGTGGCAAGTACTTACAATTATATGGTATACCTACCATTTTTTGAGAACGACCGCGGCAAGGAAAAATTCCACAGTGGCTAATGAGAGTCCCTTAGTTGCCTAAAGGAAAGAGTCGTGTCCCGCGGGTGTCTAAAGGAAAGAGTCCAGTTCCTTTATTTCAAGTTCGTTGTAACTTTTTGGTTTGGAAATGGCTACTTGGGTGAGCGCGGGGTCACGCGGGAGTAGGTGCAGGAGTGGGTGCGGGGACACGGAGTGGGCGCGTGGGCGTTCCAAAAACGAATTTTCAGTGTCCGCAGGGTGTCCGTCGTTTTTATATACCAGGGATTTTACTAGTCCAAGATTCATTTTACTTACTTCTAACTTATGTGTAGCTTTATAACCCCACCTACTTGTATTCAGCAAGAAGATTCGAGACCACAGGAAGGAACGTTGATAAGTGCACACTACCAGCAATTTCAGTATCCTCTACGCTCAGGATTACCTCTTGAACCTCAGCTTCACTGGGACAGCACCCTTGAGTATAAGTCAGAACATTAAAGAAATGCGCTAGTGGTTTTCAAAGCCACATTTGCTCACTTATGCCCTGTAGCAATGACTCGTGAAAAAAAGAGATTAAATAAACTCCAACAAAACTTACGTACTTTGACTTGCGATAACTTTAAATAAACAGTTGTCTCGTGGAAAACGTGAAGAAACTCGTACAAAAGCTTGTAAAATGTATCTGTTTTTCACCTGTTCATTTCACACATTTCAATTTAAAAAAATACCTACCTACTCATGAAAAAATTGTGAGATTAAACTTTATTTTATAATTGAATCTCGGGCAATTGCTACGCGTAAAATACCTACTCCTTTGAAACTTTTTTTACCTTTTTACCAGAGGAGTTCAAAAAATAAGACGTGAAACACAGTCTCATATATGTCGCAATATTAGCTTTCCATCCGAAAATCGGTTTCCAAATCCTTAGGTACTGCTATTTACGTATCGAAAAGTACATGGGCTAGGTGAAGAAACCAGGTTGGCGAGGCGGTGTTGACACAATCACCAGAATCTGTTATCACTCAAAAGCGACCGTTTTAAGAAAATAGAGTGGTTCCGAAAACAGCTTTTATTTTCAGTTTTTGAGAACATTTTTTGTTAGTGCCATATTATTTTTCCGTTTTCCCCGGATGAAGAAATTATTGATTCCTAATATCCCGCACCTAATTGCAATATATGTATGGTTTGCCGTTTGGGCAAAAAGATATTCTAACAGAGAAAAAGAATGATCGAGAAAAAATATTCTGGGCACTGATAAAAAAAATGAATGTTGTCCAACATTCTTGAAACATATGTTACGGGTAATCTAGTCAAACCGGGTAATGTCGACATTACCCGGGTAATGTCGACATTACCCGGGTAATGGCGGCAATAATTGACATTAACCAGGCCGTTTTGGTTAGGTTAGGTTAGGTTAGGTTAGGTTAGGTTAGGTTAGGTTATAGTACCCGCCATCCCACCCCTCTGTCGTCAGGGAGGGCCGCAGACGGGACCGGCTGGACCTAACCTAACCTAACCTAACCTAACCTAACCAAAACGGCCTGGGTAATGTCAATTATTGCCGACATTACCCGGGTAATGTCGACATTACCCGGTTTGACTAGATTACCCGTAACACATATATTCTTGTTGATGAAAAATGATTATTCTCTGAACACTTACGGTCATGTTGCCAGGTTCTGCAATGATTCGGAGGAAATGTTTGTGAGATGGATAGTAGCCAGTACAGAATAGCCAACCTTTGAACACACAACGACCCACGAAGATGCAGAGACGCACCCGTAGACAACCTAGATCATTATAATTTGCCTGTTTCTTCTGTATGAAGGTACCGTAATACCTATGGGGTGAATGGGGACAGTATTTGATACAAATGCACGTCTGTGGCCTACTGATTTCAAGAATTCCGCTTTTTTTAACAGGAACTTGTGACCTTTCAAGTCCCAAGGCGGATAAACAATTCCTCGATTCGGCGATTCTTTATCCGCCTTGTTCAAGCCCTTTACTTTCCCCCAAAATCGTGATGATACGAAAATTTTAACCATTTTAAATTTTTCTTACCTACTGTCCCTATTCATCCTCCACTGGGGTGAATAGGGACACCAGCAAATTTCAATGTAAATAAGGCGTTGTCCCCATTCTACTAACTGGAGAGTGAATGGAGACACTACCTGAGTTTTTTTTTTTTAAAAAAAAAAAAGTGAAATTCGAATCTGAAATGGAAAAAAATGTCTTTAAATAACAAAAATTAAGTAATAAGAAGCTAACAGATGACAATTATCCTTTACGCCCTGATCATTGTGATCTGAAAGATACATTTCTCAATTAAACCAGGGCAGTATTCAAAAGTCACAGAATGTGAAATTAGTACATATAAAAGTATTTCAAAGGATGCGATAAGAGGCGGCAAATGTCAGAGAAAGCCCATCCGCTGTGCCTGAATCTACGATACTTAGACTCCCAACGCTCGTTTTTTGGAGAAAAATTTTTTTAAACCACCTAATATCGAGCAAATTGCATCATTTTTGGTGATGAGCAAGGTAATTTATGATGTCAAAATGTGATAACATAAAAAAAACTTTTCTTCAATTCGTGATTCACTTGCATGGGTCGTTATCACGCTTGTTTTCCCGCTTTTTTTCAAGGTCTAGTTTTGAGGTTATGTTGACATTTTATGCTTTCACTAAACAACACCGATTACACCGGTTTCTTAAAGAGGATGCCAAACTATGCATTTTCGAAAAAAACGAGTTCTGTAGGTGCCAAACTTACCGACTTTCGATTAGGACTAAAAACGGAAATAAATCAAAATCGTCCCTATTCACCCGCCTGTCCCCATTCACCCCATATTACGGTATTTCTTGTTGTCTTGGCAAATACTCGACTCAGTGTATACTATATTTTTTCCACTTTGTTTTCTTCAGAGGTGGACAAATGCGGTTTTATTAATTTTTACATTAATCATATCTTAAATATTTGCCGCGGCAATCCAAAAAGAAGCTAAGTATACAACTACCTACGGACCATCTGTATGGATATTATGTTCATAGTCCTGGTTGCCACTCTAGATTACGACGGTTGGTGCAACTAGCTTTTGCTACGAGCCATCTCACTAAAGTCCTCTTCCCTTCATTACACAGTGCGGCAACGTGGCGGTGGAGCGTTGAATTTATAATTTTGTTTATGAGAAAATAAAATTGATGAAAAAAAAAAAATAATGGAGCGAAATGAAAATAGTCAGCCCAGAATATGTTTTCTCGGCAATTATTTTTTTTTAGTCCTGAATGTTTTTTCTCAATCATTTTTTTTTCCTCAAATAGTTAATCTTATTATTGCCCAAACGGCAAACCAAAATAATAACAATATGAGAATAATGTCTCTATGCTGAAAGATCATCACATTTCAAAACATTTAAGTCTCCAAGTTTTTGGAAAGGTTTATCTACACTCACCTAATGAGCGAATGATCGTTCCAACCTCTCGCACATCCACTGTTTTATTCCCTCCGTGGTCAAACACTTCAAAAGCCTCAATTATCTTCTTCTCGAAGTCATTTGAGATACATACTGTGGAAAAAGTACAATTTTGTGAAAGATCATAGTCATGTATTTACAAGAGGGTAGACTTATCAGAGATTGTATGGGTAAAGTTTTTCAAAAGGCCTTGTCTCGACGGCGCAACTGTTGAGGGAAGCTGGCGCAACTGTTGAAGGAAGGAAGTGTCTCAAAAATGTTTCACTTATAAGAGAAACTTTCAAGGTCAGAAACCTGGAACCTCAACAGTTGTTTACCTTCTTAGTATTTTGAATTGATAAACGCTGGTTACACGTGAAGCGGGAGTTTATTACGGGTGTTTTATTCCGGAGCGGTTATTACTTAGGCCTTGTCTCCACGGCGCAACTGTTGAGGGAAGTTGGCGCAACTGTTACGAGTTTGTTGCACCAATCGAAGTTCCCTGTCTCGACGCACAAGCATGTGTTCCTGGAACTTTTAGGCGGGAATATTTGAACAACGTTAATTTTTTTAGGTTAAACGATGTCAATTGAGGTAACTGAACTGATAATTATGAACGGGAGGTGATTATTTTGCGTTATTTCGACCAGGTATAAAACAAAAAACAATAACATAACACAGATATGGATTAAAAGAAAATATATTCGATAAAATTTTATTTTTCTGCTGTAGTGATATGCTACAAACGAAAATGTAAAATTGATACTGAAATGTATATAAATATTTTTAAATATTAACTGCTCCAAAATAAAACACCCGTAATAAACTCCCGCTTCACGTGTAACCAGCGGTTATCAATTCAAAATACGAAGGTAAACAACTGTTGAGGTTCCAGGTTTCTGACCTTGAAAGTTTCTGTTATAAGTGAAACATTTTTGAGACACTTCCTTCCTTCAACAGTTGCGCCAACTTCCCTCAACAGTTGCGCCGTGGAGACAAGGCCTTAGAAATATTTGTATACATTTCAGTATTAATTTTATATTTTCGTTTGTAGCATATCACTACAGCAAGAAAATAAAATTTTATCGAATATATTTTCTTTTTATCCAAATCTGTGTTATGTTATTGTTTTTTGTTTTATACCTGGTCGAAATAACGCAAAATAATCACCTCCCGTTCATAATTGTCAGTTCAGTTACCTCAATTGACATCATTTAACCCAAAAATATTAATGTTGTTCAAATATTCCCGCCTAAAAGTTCCAGGAACACATGCTTGTGCGTCGAGACAGGGAACTTCGGTTGGTGCAACAAACTCGTAACAGTTGCACCTGATTCCCTCAACAGTTGCGACGTCGAGACAAGGCCTCAGGGTACATTAGTTACCTTATGAGATCTTAGTAATCTTTTACCCCCATCTCTATCACTGCAATAGAAAGTACTTTTTTTTATTTTTATTTTTTTTTTTCTTCGCATTTTTCATGTTTCTCTATACCATTACGGACAAAAGAGAGACGTGGCCTGGATTTCCTCTTACATTTCATAGGAAAAATATAGTAAGGCAATGAGAGTGTTCTATCTATAGAGTTTGATTACCATTTCAAATTTTAAGGTCAATCGGACAAAATCTGAATGAGTTACGGGGTTTTGAAATTTGACTAAGGGAAGTTCACAAAATCAATTCAAAAATTGAAATTTCAAATTTTTATTAAAGAGACAGAAAAACGCAAAAATGGGCTTAAAAATAATCCAAATGGTATATAATGATACGTATCATTATATACCATTTGGATTATTTTTAAGCCCATTTTTTGCCCAACTTTTTGATGTTTAGTACTAAACATCAAAAAGTTGCCTCAGAGAAGATTTTGGCCTTGAAATTATGATAAAATTGGCTGGTGGAGCGGTTTCAGGGTACCAGTTAAAAAATTTGATTTTTTCCCGATCTATTCTGTTAGAGGAATATTTGCCTGCTTAGCTGGTACTTTGACACTTGTCTCCAGGTCATATTTATCTAGAACATTGTACATAGCTACCTTGTTGGATGTGTGGGGGAGGGAGATTAGATAGTTAAAATTTCATTAGTTTTGGAACCCTCTACTTCTGGAGCAGGACTCATATATTTACTTTGAATCTGGAAGCCTTGAATCTAGTCTCTGTTGTCTTTCAATTATGTTTTTCCCAGTGAAACGAATCGAGACTGAAATAATCTCTCATTACCCTGGAGAAAAAAAATTCCAAGTCTCTCTTTATCCTGGAAAAAGTATGACCCAGGATGAAGAGAGACTTTTGCTGCCAGACTTGTAAATTTGTAAATAGCATAAAACAAAAAATATAGTCATATTTTACATATCCTAAGCTACAGAATGGTATCATTTTTTTTTCTTTTTGGAGTAAAATTTACCCTCCAAAATCCACGAAAACTGCGGCAGGGACGAACTTAAAAACACAGTTCAAAAAAGAGGTTACGTTTACTTGCACTTCCCGCAGTCCGTTGTTGTCCGATCCGGTCCGGAATTTCAACAAGAACGTATAAATGGAGCAAGAGTCCATTTCTTCTTCTTTCATTACTTAAATCTCAAATAGGCAATTCACAGTCCCATCAAGAACCTTCGCACCTATAAGACTAGGATTTACCGTTAAGCTCTTTGAAGAGAAGGGGGGGGGGGCTTCGGGGCTATGAAAGTCGGATCACTTATTACCAATTTCCTGTACAACCACTCCCTCCTTCCTAAGCCTCCTAAATCGTCTGACCTGGTACAACAGAGAATGGCGATTTATGGGGGTATTCCAGGACAGTGGTGCCCATTTTCCCTGAAAACTTTTGAATCCATACGAGTTGCCCCCTAATCTTAAGTTATCCGCCCCCCTCACCATGGACGGGGGTCTGGTGAATATGAAACGCCCCAGATGAGGGGGGTGGGGGCCTTCCCTGAAAAATTTTGATATTGTCTGGGGTTTGAGGCGATAAAGAACGCTCCCTCTATTCCCTCCTTTCTTCTCTCTCTTCTTTATGTTCTCTTTTACGGTTTTTCTTCTTTTTCTACTTCCCATATTTTTCGTTTTTTCCTTCTTTTCTTTTTTCTTCCTTTTATTTTGTTTTCTTTTCTTTTTCCTCCCCCCTTTTTCTTCTTTTTTCGTATGCGTGTCACGGTGTTAGTTAAGTAGGCAATTATTGTTTACCGAGTATTGCCTGCGGCACGATCGCGAGCAATGCCGCATTTGTCGCTGCCGTGCGCCGAGACACAAATCGGTCTACTGCGCGCAACGAGCACTGCGCGTGACAAAAAAAAAAAAAAAAAAAAAAAAAAAAAAAAAAAAAANAAAAAAAAAACCAGCTGTTAACTTAGGTGACGACACATCTATAATTTTTTACACTGGAAGTTCTATGGATATCTATAGGACGTTCAAAACATAGGCTGTGTGGCCACTAGGATATCCATGGAACATCCATAGAATATCTGCAGATATTCTAACATCCATAGAATATCTGCAGATATTCTATGGATGTTCTGTGGATATCCGAAAACCGCAGATATTGTACGGATATCCAGAGCATATTCTGTGCTATCTGGGATCGGTCAGGAACCCACGGTTTACCTACCAGTTTTTGGATCGATTTGTGTGCTTTCTTATTTCATTATTCTCAACCGAGGAGACTGTTTGATGCCATTGCATAATATGATGGCTTTTCTTCCCATTGATAACTTTTTGGGGGAAAAGTATGGACAATTAATTGTCCATAATAATATGTATGGAAATTTCCATACATATTATTAAAATATGCTACTCCATGATTCAATGACATGAGATAAGAGAAAAATTACTCAGGTGCCGTCTTTTCGCAAAATAGCTAAATTACTTACAAAAAATGATAGGCCCCCTAAATTAAGATAGAAAAAAAAAATTAATTAAATTCGAAAAATCTCACCACGCAAACTGCTAAGCTTCTATAATAAATCTTTCTGAGCACTGAGTGAGAGAAGGGAACTTCTAGATTATGGTGGTTCAGAATTTTCGCTAATATTTCATTCGTTGTAAGGGAAGTGAATGCATGCATTTCATTGAAGCTTGACTGGATTTTTTTTCATGATTCATTATTATTTTTCATAAAAGAAATTTAGGAAAAATCGCCCTCCTAAACTGTTCACGACTCTTCCTGGAAGAGCGCGCGTTGTATGAAATGTTGCGCGGCGGCACGAGTTATGAATTATGTGTTATTGGAATTAACGCCGAGATATGTGCTTTGAGTTCTACGTTTTTAGGTGACTGCCAGATTTTTTTTGACTAAAATATTTTGATAGCAGGAAGAAGGGCATCTACTGAACTTCATTTCTGCAGCTAACTCAAAACCGCTAGAAATCGAGTTTAGGTATGGTACTTGTACCCCTAGGACCCACTGAGAGAAGAAGAAGAAGTGAAAACGAATTGTGCGATATTTTATTCATTTCTCAGAGTTAAGAAATTACATGAAAGATTATAAAAAGAAACATTAGGAAATTCCAAGAAATTTCATTAGGAAATTTCAAGAAATTTCATTAGGAAACTTCAAGAAATTTCATTAGGAAATTTCAAGAAATTTCATGGGGAAAAAAGAAATTTCATGAAATTTAAGAAATTTCATGGGAAGGAAAGAAATTTCATGAAATTTCTTGTGAAATTTCAAGAAATTTCATTCGATGAAATTTATTTTAGCAACTCTGTCATTACTACATTGTTAATGTTTGTAGTTAAAATAATGTGTCTAATTGTCAATTGAGTGCATTTATTATTATAATCCCGGTTAAATACTCGACTTTAACTACTTTATCTTCCCGCGCAAACTAGTCGCAGGACTGTATGAGCCCCGTCCCGTGGAGACGGTATAACTGGGAAAAATCCCAGAAGTTTCATTCCTGCGATTCGAACTTGGGACAAATCCCATGAAAACGTCCCATGGAGACAAGGCCTCATAAAAACATTTTTGAGACACTTCCTTCCCTCAACAGTTGCGCCGTCGAGACAAGGCCTTACTCAATGTCAGTTTGGTGACGCTGTTTACCATCAAAACTTTTGGTGGAATATGTGAGCAAATATTATATAAATATTTTTTTCTTACATCTACAGGTGGCCTCT